GTAGCTCAGGCTGGCCTCGAACTCACAGAGATCCGCCTGCCTCTGCCTCCCGAGTGCTGGGATTAAAGGCGTGCGCCACCACCGCCCGGCTTAATTCCAGATTCTTAAACTCATGTCATCTACCCATATTTTTCAGTATTCAGGGCTGGCAACTTCAGAGCTCTAGCTATGAGTTTTCTAAGGCATATGCATCTTGCTGTAATTTGAAAGTCCTTACCAGCTACTGGTCTTGGCTTTTTACTAAGACATCTGGGGCTGTCTTCAGGATTTCCATCATCACCTCGGAAAACCCATGCTGTTGAATGAAAATTCTCGGTGTAGAATCCCTTCTCTTCAATATCAACTCGAAAGCCAAAATCTGGAGAATAAGCATCATCCGAGGTAACTGAGGAACAGAAAAGGTGAGAAATTAAGTTACATTCTGGCAAGAAAGAAGATCCAGTGCTCTTGTGGTCAAGGTGAGAAAGCTTCCAGATATGAAGAGGTGAGTTCCCTCTGAATAAAGAACATTATCCTTAAATATAAGTAGCTAAGTTTGCTGTGCATTTTTCTTGGGAATAATTTATATATTTTTAAAATATCATAATCAAAACAAATATTCCCAGGACTGTAGAAAAGGGTCAGCAATTAAAAGTGCTTACTGCTCATCCAGAGGACCCAAGTTCAGTCCCCAGCACCTACTTCTAGTGGCTCAAAGCTGCTTGCAACTTTAGCTCCTAGAGATCTTTTGCCCTCTTATGGCCTTCACAGGCACTGCACCGATGTGCAGACATACAGACACACATGAATAAAAATAAAATGAATTTTAAAAAACAAAAACAAATATTGCTTCAGGATCTGGGTTGTGGGAGTCTGGGCACAGGACAAAGTATGGAAATATTTCAGTTAAAGAAAAATGTTTGCTTTGAAAAACAATATATTACTATTTAGAGGTCAAGTTGAAACCAGGTAAGATTAGGAATTAGCTTTCAGAATCCATTTCAAAATACCAAGTACAAAGAAAAAGATTATCAAATACAAAATCATGTCACTGTCTTTGTGCTTGAAGGAGGCACTAGAAAGTGTATTTCTAGAAATCTCACCGTGGGCTTACATGAAGAGACAAGGAGATGTGTATATTTTCATCTACCAGTTCTTCTATAGAAGTTTGGTGTTTTCTCTGTGTGTACAAGTGTCTTAGACCCTGTGGAAAGATGTGTCCATATAAGAAATGAGCTTGTCTTCCCACACTATCTTCCATGTTTCTTTGTGCCCTGGTTAGAGAGTTCAAACTAAAATAAAATCCTCCTCCAAGCCTTTCAGTCTTTCATGCAGGCAGAGTTGAAAAATCACACTTTAGCATCAAAAGTTATTTTCAAGAAAACTCCATCATTTATTTGCATTTCTTAAATAGCATCAGGAATGGGGGGATATAAAGAACACAATGATTCTCTCTGTTTTGCAAAATAGCAAAGCACAAGCTAACTTCCCAATGTCCTGATCATCCTGTCTCATCTCCCCAAGTCCTGGGACTAAGTCCTGGGATTATAGGTAAATACCTCAACAATACTTAAAACACAATAGAACATCGTATTTCTCTCTCTGATTCTCCTCGGACACTGTAGTTGTTCCTATGCCTTTCTCAGAAAGTCTCTAGGTGAAATCTCTTATTCCCATCCTCACCCAACACAGCAAGGCAGACTTCTGCTGTGGGTTAGGTCTACAAATATTCCATTCCACTCCCCCAACCCCCATCCCCCGCACCAGCCGAGGATTGGTCTTCTCTCTGAGTTTTCTCTGGAGAATCACTCTTAATGGTTCTTTTTCATTTCCACTTTCGCTTTCTTAGTACTAGACTGAGAAGAATAATTATTAATCATTGTCCTGACACAGAGACAAATGAACAATAGATTTCCAACTTCTCCATTTGTGTAACTTATGTGAGACTGCACCAGACATTTGACGGCTTGGGTGGTTTCAGGTCCATTCATTCACTCGCTGAATTGATTTGAAATAAATGCTCTTCTTCCCTGAACCAGGTGCAGTTTTATGGACGTTGGGGGTAGAATGATGAGCAAGACAGGAGTCGTGGTGCAGTGTGAGAGTTCAGAGAAAGGGCAGCTAGCTGTCAACAGAGGCACGTCTAGGAAGTCTATCACTCTAAATCCATTCAGTGCATTCCATGGGGCAGGGGAGGTGGATACACAGCGAGGAGGGGGGCACTCCTATTATAAAAATTTAAATCTAAAAATGACAAACCCGACCCCTTTTGAGTGTTAATGTAACACCCAAAGTATGAAAATACCGCATCAGAGAGGTCCCAGCCGGAATGTAGGTGCACTACACATGGTGTATAAAATTATCTACAGGTTAAATAGGTATCTAGCCTAAAAGAATTTTGCTTTTACATTTGGACCCTATCTCCAGATACCTTATAATGTCTGTACCAATATGATAAAGCCCCATAAAATCCGAAATCTGAAATACTTGTGGCTATAAGCATTCCAGCAAAGGAATAGTCTATCTATACTTCCATAGGTGGTGTTGATTGAATAGTACTACTATGGTACATTTGGGTGTAAAAACAGATGACATATGGCAATATAATACAGTTATAAAGCTGGAATATAAATGATATGAGAACTTGATGGGGCATGATTCTTATTAGATTAAAATTATGAAAAGTTTAGGACAGAATAATATAAATAGTATAAATCAGAATTTGATACTTTCTTTCACATAGCATATTCCAAACACTTCAAGATTGTTTTAAGTAAATCTAGGTGTGACATTTGATTGCCATAGGAAAAGTAAACCAAAAATTTTAGAATAATTTATTGAAGTGCCTTTCTGAGCTTTAAAGGTTTTTTTTGTTGTTGTTTTGTTTTTTGTTTTTTTGCTATAATAGGGCTTTCTAAAGTTTTAGGTTCATTTTCTACATTGTTTACCTTAAAATTCAGTTGTTAAATGTTTATTGATGTAGGCCACAGAGATTTCTGGGACAACTGGTTTATCGTATAATATCTTTTCTTCAGCAGTCAATGCCTGTACTGGATATGCGGTGGGTCTGAGGGCAGGTCTTTATGTGGGTCTTTGCTTTTATCAATATGTATGAGGCTGGTCTAACAGCTCACTTATTTACCAACAGATGTGATTCTGTGGATGAATGGCTCTGTATTCATTCAGTTAGTAAGACAGAGCTAATGAACATACCCTTACATAAGCTGAGACATAAAATTTGTGTTAAACTCCAATGAAGCAGCAAGCCACACACCTGCTGAAAATTTATAGCTGCTAGAGGTCTCAGCATCTGCTCCACGTTGAACCTTGATATAAGCAGGCAAGTCCAAATAACTCTTTGTCAGAAAAAGTTTGCTACCAAATTAGGTTTGCTAGCTTAAACACGTCATAAATGAGCATTTCAAACATGAGCTATTAAATGTTTTGATATTACTGAAATCACATTTCAAATCGTTCTTTCTCAAAAAATACTGGCATGTTCTTTTCCTTTTCATTTGTGGCTTTGGTCTCATAATAATAATACTAATGATAAACAATAATAGTAATAATAGTTTTTAAAAAGGACTAGGACATGCACAAGTTAGCTCTGAGTACCTTGGGTATCCTTACACTTCTTTCATCTTAGTGTATCATTTGAAGAAAATGAAGAGATAGTATGCAAAGATGCAAGGCCCTGTTTGGTTGTCCCAGAAAGACCAGGGTTTTAGTTGAGTTCAAACAGATCCAGTAATTTTCCATTTTATGAGTGTGTGTTCCAGTTAGACTGTCCGTAGTCGAAACTCAGCTCTAAGACTAATTATATATAACTGAATGACTTTGGACCCATCACTTATCCTCTGATGAGCAAAATGAGTTTGGAAAAAGTAACATAACTCATAATTCTACTAGGAATATCAACAAGAAAACACATTACAAGAGGTTTAGCATAGAATCTGGCATCAAGTAGGCACATCACAATCCTTACGTCTTACTATGAAATTTTATATAGATATAGATATAGATATGGATAGATATAGATATAGATATAGATATAGATATAGATATAGATATAGATATAGATATAATTAGATAGATTTTTATTTCACTTTATGTGCATGAGCATTTTTCATGCATTTTGTCTGTGCACTATGTGTATGCCTGGTGCCCACAGAAATAGAAGAGGGCAGAGGATCCCAGAGGAGTTTCAGATGTTTGTGAAACAACTTGTGGGTGCTTGGAACTAAACCTGGGTCCCTTGAACTGACTCTTAACCTCTCAGCTACTCTTCAGTCCACTTAGCTCTTATTAGGAATTACAATTAATTCCCTTGCTTCCTCTCTTCCCTGTCCTTTCCTCCCTCCCTTTTTATTTCCTTCCTTCCTTCCTTCCTTCCTTCCTTCCTTCCTTCCTTCCTTCCTTCCTTCCTTCCTTCCTTCCTTCCTTCCTTCCTTCCTTCCTCCCTCCTTCTCTCCCCCTCTCCTCCCCTCCCCCTCTCTCCCTCTTTCATTCATTCTTTCTTTCCTTCTATCTTTCTTTCTCAATGGCAACTAATATTTCAAAAGTACAGTTCCATAATAATTTTATTTACTGAGTGAAATATGAGAAATGCTATGAGTTATTCTTACATGATTAAACCCAAATTCCTGCTACATCTGTTTGTGATACAGGGGCCATTTAAGATTATAAAATTCAGAGCCTCCTTTTGCAGTCCCTTCCGACGCCCATCCCTAGCCTTCAGGTTATTTACGGAGTATACCTTAGTCAGCATGGCCCACACTCAGATGGATTGATCAACTGTGTCAACACACATAAACATGTCATTCTTAATGTCTTTTCCAGTTATTACATAGGAAGTCAGAGATGAGTGAGATTAACAGAGTGAAAACGCTAGCTGTAATGATGGTCTATAAAGCTGTCAGGTTTTACGTCATATATTAGTAGCATGTGCTGACTCCATCAATGAGAAAAAAATTCCAACCACACATTAAACAATACCAGCCCAAGCAACTCTGAGTGAATTGTAGGCTCTACTTAAAAGAGTTTCTCCAGAAATAGAGTGTGCGTTCAATGTGTCTGTGGCTGGATAAGCTGAAAGAGAAGCGGCAGACACTTGTTCTTATGTCTAACATGGACAAAATTGTTAGGATAAGTTTTCATTCAAAACAAAGTTTGCCTCAAAGAAAGCACAGTCATTGTTAAATTAAAATTATTATGCTTGGACACTAAATTTGAATTTACATTGAAATTACAGCTGATCTTGTGTTATTTCAAGTGAAGTATTGGTAAATGTTTTACATAGCTTTCCAAATTGGAAAAAAAAAATCTCTGATTTGCTGGGCTAGGCCGTTTTCATTGCATAAAGATTTCCAACACGGCCAGTATAAAGCTAACAGCCTCTATCACTGA